TGTCAGATGTTGCCTTTTTCTTACTTATTCAAATTTCCTTTATATCTGAGGGTCTATTTTAGTCCTTTCTGTTCTGTTCCATTGTTCTCTCCATCTGTCGCATAAACACCATTACGAAGCAGCAAATAGTATAAAAATTCAGCCTACAGAAGGAGGATAAAGAATTACTGATGATTTTGCCATGGTGATAAAGTACAAAACCAAATTCAACTTGGAATCTGCATATGCAGAGAAACAAGTGAACATAGTCATATTTGAAGTTCCTGAGGGAAATTACAGAGATGGTTGAGGAGAGAGCCAAGGCCATTGATGACCTTTTATGCCACAGTTTGGAATTTGGATTTTGTCCTATATATAATTTTGAGCAAACTAATGAAATAGATGATTATGTTTTAAATTTTTGTTATTTTATGTGTATGGGTGTTTTGCCTGCATGCATGTGTACATGGAGGGCTGAAATGGACAGTAGATCACCTAAAACTGGAGGTTAACTGAAGGTTATTAGCCATCCTCTGTAAGAACAGCCAGCGCTCTTAATCATTGAGCTATCTCTCCAGCCTCGTGATAATGTTTTAGCATGGGTTCAAGGCTAGGTTCAGTTTATCTCTTAGCAGTCTTTATGCTTGTTCTTCAGATTGCATGAACTCTCTAAGAGAGCATCAGAGGCTTTCATCTGATTCTCAGAAGTCTCTGGTTCACGCACATATACATACACCTTCCTATAAAGCTTTCTTTGGTAATAACATAAGATAGAATAGCTTGGGAAGGGTTTGAAAGTAGATAGTGTCACCAGATTGATAGTTTTTGAATTAATGTAGACAAGAGAAGTGACAAGGAAAAAAAGTGTTTCCCTTCAGTTTATTATTTCTGAAAGTTACAGCCAGTTTTCATTATTTGCAGTAGTTCTGTAAATTCACTGTAAACAATGAATTAATGAATACTGGATTATTACTCCTAGGTGAAATATGTACTTATTACATAAATGAGCTAGAGGTGGCTTCTGTATATTGACTCTTAGGTGGTTTTTTCTTCTCAACAGAATAGAACCTATTAGCTTTAAAGTATGCTTGGATCAAGCTATTTTTTTAAAAAATCTTTACATTATTTATTTAGTGGAGGATGATAAACAGATTTTTGGTCATTGGGAGCCTGCCTACTTCAAAAAACTCCACAAAACTGCTTTCCACCCAACATCTGCTAGCCATAGTTTGGAGCTCTTTCATCTGGAGGCTTCCCTGCTGGGCTGTTGAGCAATCTTACCTACACATATAAGCCCTTCCTCTGTGGCTGCTCTACTTTACTTAGCCTCTGTACAATATCATTTGAAGGAAATTTCTCTGCAGGAAAACCTGCAAAAGAATTATCCAAGTAAAACTCATGTGTGCTACTGTCACCTTGTGGTCATGTCTTCATGTCTCAGTTCCCCAGATCCTTTGCACTCAAAATCTGTTTAGGTTCCATTGAACTCTTAGTCCTGTTTCCATCAGTCAGTACATAAATACATAACCTTGTTTTATGTGTGTCTCTGTTTAAATATACTTTATTATATATTATTGACTCAATAACATGAGCTTATGGCTGATCTCACTGTAGTTTATGCATGAAGGGTGTTCCCTAAGGACACAGATTTATATGAAAACTGAAACAAGAAGACAAACTATCACAACCTTAGCAGGAAAGGTACATGAATCAGGTGACAGGGGTTTTTTTTCATTGATAGTCACATGTCCACATGTGATAAGTAATAAAAGTGTTAATTTTGGCCAGACATGGTGGTGCACGCCTGTAGTCCCAGCACTTGAGAGGCAGAGGCAGGTGGATCTTCGTGAGTTCAAGGCCAACCTGGTCTACATAGTGAGTTCCAGGCCATCGGGGGTACAGGGAGACCCTGTTTCAAAAAAACGAAAAAAAAAAAAAAGTTCATTTTGGAATTATAAATTTTAGTGAACAGTCAAATTCACATATATGTTCTCCACAAATGAGGATTACCTATACCAATCTAGTCACTTCTTGGATACTTCTGATGAGCCCACTCTCCCATGACAAACTTTCCTCTTGCTTCATAGTTTTCTTAATTAATTTCTGGGTTTTTTGAGACAGGGTCTCCCTGAAGCCCCATCTGGCCTGGAACTCGCTATATAGACTAAGCTGACCTCAGTCACAGAGATCCACCTGCCTCTGCCTCCAGAATGCAGGGGCTAAAGGCATGTGTCACCATGCCCAGCCATGTTTTTATTTTTATTTTTTACATTTTTTAAAAATATTTTTATGTGTATTGCCTGCACATATATAGTGCAGCTGTGTCATGCAATGCCCACAGAGGTCAGAAGAGGGCATTGGATCACCTGGAACTGGAGTTGGGGCAGTTGTTAGTCACCATTGGATGCTGGGAATCAGACCCAGGCCTTCTGCAAGAGCAGCAAGTACTCTTAACCACTGAACCATCTCTCCAGCCCCTGTTTGTTTGTTTGTTTATTTTTAATTGTTTTAAAGGCAGGATCTTACTATATAGCCCTGGCTGGCCTGGAACTCCTTATATAGTACCAGTCTGGTTTCCAACACAGAAATCTGCCTGCCTTTGCTTCCCAAATACTGGGATTAAACATGTGGCTCTACTAAACTGTGATCATTACTGTTTCTAATCATAGGTCCTAATTAGCTAGGCTTTCGGTTTTATTGTTGTCAATATTGTTGTTTTGAGACGGGGTCTCATTATGTAGTCCTAGCTGACCTGGAACTCACAGAGATCTGCCTGCCTCTGCTTCCCCAGTGTTAGGATTAAAGGCATGAACCAACATGCTTGGCTTTCTGAATTCTCTTTCAATATACTATTTAAATTAATTTGTCTTATCTTCACCTAGATTTCACTCCCAACCCCGATCCCACTCAAAGCATGAAAGTTCTAAAATTTTTTTGAAAATTTTTGAGTTGTCATGTACTTTAAAATGATTGAAGTAAATGAGATAGCTAATTTATATTTTAATATATACCTAAAAATACCCTCTCTTTTTGACGTTTCTCCCATCACAACTGTACTTCCTGTATTTTCACTGCCTCTCTTTAGCCAACACCGAATTTCCCTGGGTAGATGAGTCACAGGAAGAACTAGGCATAGGAATCACTCTCTCTCTCTCGTTCCTTTGCCTTGTCCTTGTTCCCATTGTCATCTGTACTTCTCCCTGTTAACTTTATTCTATAACCAGATTATTTTCTCAGTGTTGTGGGGGATCCAGATTTGTATTCACTTTGCACACTCTTGGAACTACTGTCAACCAAAGTCTATGTTTCAGTTTAGGGAAGAACTCAGATAGTATTTAGGAGGTCATAAATCTAGCCCTGGCCTCAGTTGTTGTCATAAGGAATATAGGTAGCTGATTAATGCCACTTACATCATAGTAAGCCTTGATTGATAGCTTTGGGATTCTAGAGAAGGGCAAGTTCCCAGAGGAAATGGGAATAAGAAATGGAAAATGTGTATGAGTGTTTTGCCTACAAGTACATAAGTGCACCACATGTGTGCATTGCCTTCAGAGCCAGAAGAGGGGTGGGGGGCAGGTAATGCATATGTATATACCTATGAGTGCATGCTCTTGTGGAAGCCAGAGATCGATGGCAGATGTCTTTTTCTGTCAGGCAAACTTTATTTTTGAGGCAAGATCTCTTGGTAAACCTAGATCTTACCCTTTCTGCTAGACTGGCTTGTCAGCAAGCCTCTGGTGTCTGCTTATTTCTATACCCCAGCATTAGACTTACAGATGTGTACTGTCACGCTCAGCTTTTAGTAGTTGCTGGGAATCCAAACTCAGGTCCTCATGCTTGCTGTACATTGCCTACTGAGCCATCTCCCCAGTCCCCTAATACATCTTAAGACAAGTATTTTTCTCTGCTTTGTTTAGAGTCAGTAACATGTCTCTTATTGATCATCAGTGTAACTAAAGCTAACGTAGCTTTTAGCTTTGGTCAAAATTTATTTTATAACTGGATATGATGGCACACACCTGTAATTAATTGAGAGGCTGATGTAGGAAGATTGAGAGTTCTAGACTGGTGTGGGCTACAACAGTTAGACTGTCTCAAAAAACAACATAAAAATTGATTTTACTTTAATTATTGACATCTAAGTATTTCTCAGTAGTGGGAACATTATATTGGTGTATATGCTGTAGTTGGTACTATTATATTTTCTGTATGTGTATAATTTTAATAAAGACAAAAAAATCTTTTTGTTGTTATGTATGAGCAGTTTTTTAATATTTATTGATTCTTTGAGAATTTCATACAATACATTTTGATCAAATTCAGACACCCTTCCCAATCTCCATCCTCACCCTGCCACCTCCCCCTGACTTCATGTCCTCTATTAGTATTTTTCTGTTTTTAAAGGCCTATCAAATCTAATTTGAATTTCCCAAATGCTATTGGGTGTAGGTCTATTCCTTGGGGCTTTGGTCGTCTACCCAGTGTTACAGCCGTAAAGAAAATGATCCTGTCCTAGCAGCTATCAGTTGCCAGTAGACCCTCAGCTAGAGCTGGGGCTTCTGGCCAACCTCCCCCATCCATGCTGGGTTTTTAAGACAAAAAAATCTTATATTGGTAAAATAATAAATACTTAGGTGGAGCTGGAGAGTTGGCTCAGCCGTTAAGAGCACTTGCTGTTCTTCCAGATAACTCGAGCTCAATTCCCAGCACCCACAAGGTGGCTAACAACTATCTGTAACTCCAATTCCGGGGGATCCAGCGCCCTCTTCTGGCTCTGAAGGCATTGCACACATGTGGTGCACTTACGTACTTGTAGGCAAAACACTCATACACATGAAATGAAAATAATAAATACTTGGGCTATAATTTCCTTGTGGGTTACAGGCATGATGTTATATTTGACCTAGTAACTCATAAGATATTTTCAAGGTGGTGTTGCAGAGGTGAATTACTGAGTTTTTTAAGTGATTTAGAAGAAAAACCCTCTTCCCTTTACTTTTTTGCATGTATTTATGCCATAGGTACCTGCAAGATGTGGAGTGACAGTCCGAGACAGTCTAAAGAAAGCACTAATGATGAGAGGCCTCATCCCAGAGTGCTGTGCCGTTTACAGAATTCAGGATGGGTATGGTTTGTATGTGTTGTTTTAATTTTGTTTAAAATATTAGACACGAAGCTTTCTAGGTTTTGGGTTTTTTGGTTCTGTTGTTGTTGTTGTAGCCTTTTTACCCAACAGGAATTGAAAATTCACTTCAGAAAAAAATTATACCAATAATTAAGCCTGAAGAAATCTTGAAGGCCATTGGTAATTTTGTGTAATTTTGTGTGATTACACCATTTATTCTTATGATCAATGGGTTTCCTAGAGTTTCGGGTTTTCATACCTTTTAAACCATTTAGAATATGATTTGTTTGGATAATATGCCTTTCTGCAGTTCCTTATTTTTAATACAAGTTCATGGTTTCACAAAATCAATTCGATATTGAACTATTTCTCTTTCCCAAAATATCTAACATTGTTCTAAGACTGCCAGGGGTTTATTATTTTTTTATATTATTAATTTTTTATATGTATGAGTGTTTTGTACAAGGAGAGCATTGGATCCCTGGAACTGGAGTTAGGGATGGTTGTTAGCCACAATGTGGGTTCTAGGAATTGAACTTGGGTCGTCCTCTACAAGAGCAGCCAGTGCATTTGAACTGCTGAGCCACCTCTCCAGCTCCTAAACTGCCAGATTTCGAATCTATATTTTGAGTCATGTTTTGATGCACATTGTTTTTTTGAATGGATAGGTAAGTCCATATCTGTGATTTTTTTTTTCCCCAATCCCAGGAACAGTTCATTTTCAGCTGTTGTAAGACTTTTCTGAAGTTCACTTGAAGAAAAGAATACATCTCATACATCTCTTTGCCCTCAAGAATAATAGTTTATTTGGGGTACACTTAAAAATTAATTTGTTGCCATTTAACTTTCAATTATGGAAGACCATAGAGCCAAACCTCTCTATTTTTAGTCCCTCATGAACCAGTTTTCATATATTCAGCTTAAGGTATATGAGTATTTGGGATATAGTAATCAAGAACACCTTGTGTCTACATTTTTCAGAGAGAAGAAACCAATTGGCTGGGACACTGATATATCTTGGCTGACTGGGGAAGAGTTACATGTGGAAGTATTGGAGAATGTGCCACTTACCACACACAACTTTGTATGTACCCTTTACATTTTTTTAATTGTCAAAAATGGCCAGTTTCTTTTGAGTGTATTTTTATTAGGGAATACGAAATACATATAAATAATTTTGTGATGAAAATTTACCTAAGTTAAAAATCAGTTCACATCATAGTGGTACATGCCTTTAATCCCAGCACTTGGGAGGCAGAAGCGGGGAATCTCTGTGACTTCAACGCCGTCCTGGTCTACATAGTGAGTTCCAGGCCAGCTGGAACCAAAATAAAAAGAATAAAAAAAAAAGAATAAAATTTACCATGATGCAAAAATCTTTCTAGCAAAAGTATAAGATTCCTTAACATTTTGTGTAGCCAGGTGTGGTGGCGCACACCTTTAATCCCAGCACTTGAGGGGCAGAGGCAGATGGATCTTTGTGAGTTCGAGGCCAGCCTGGTCTACATAGCAAGTTCCGGGACAGCTGGGGCTACAGGGAGACCCTGTCTCAAAAAGACCAAAAAAAAAAAAAAAAGATATTTTTGTGTAGATGAATAAATAATCATGTAGTCTTCTAAACATTTTTCTATATGTACAGAAGCATACCTGTAAGCCCAAAGTTTCCTCTTTTCTTGTTTTCTTCATTTCTTCCCATTTTCTTTTCTTAAATGAAGAAGCAGAGTCATGTTGTGTGATACTTTTCACATTTATGTTTAATTCAACAGGACTTGTGGGCTTCATTCTCTGCCAGTATACCTAGCTTCCTAATAGCCCATGGGAACAGAAATTGGGTGTCTTTATTCCCTTATTAATATAGATTTGTATTTTTATATTTAGAAAAAAAATTACATATATAGCTAAACAGAGTCTGCATATATCTTGACACACATAAATGTGTTTGAACAATAAGATAATGAAATTGAAGAGTAGAATAATTGAGTTGAACTCTGCTTGAAACTTTTTCTTGAAATTTTTTACATTTGGTAGAACTTAGCATAAGCTAAGTGTCACCAGCATGTAACATCCCCCTGAACCTTCTGATTTACTCCACATCTTTAAACAGTTCCAACTTCAGATTGAGCAACAGCTGTGGCCCAGAAGAAATACAGATCTCCTTAGACCTACCTTTATTGACAAAGGTACCCTTACAGATACATGGTTTATTTACAATTCATACTCAGGTGCATAGCCACATTTTTTTTCCTTTTTGGGGGGCTTTTTTCTTTTGGGGGGTCTTTTTGAGACAGGGTCTCCTATAGCCCCAGCTGGCCTGGAACTCACTATGTAGACCAGGCTGACCTCAAACTCACAGAGGTCTGCCTGCCTCTGCCTCCCAAGTGCTGGGATCAAAGGCATGTGCCACCATGCTTTCAGATGGGATTTTGAATGCCTGTAATCCCAGTATTAAGAGGTAGAAGCAAGAAGAATAGTCAAAAGTTCAAGGCTAACCTCTGCCTCATACATGTGGGCAGAAAGAGAAAGAAAAAGTAGTTTGGATTTTAAAATTAAGTGTATAAAAGCATTTACATGAAATAGAACATAATATAAAATTCTAAGGTATGTTATGTTTAAGGTGAGTAGTGCTGCTGTATGAATGCAGAGAGACGCTGGGCCGCGATGGGCATATATTTATTGCTGCTGATTGTGATAGAAAATTGAAAAACAGATGATTGAGAGTATGCAACAAATAATGAAAAGAAAGTCATCCATGCTGTGAGCATTTGAAATAGCCATTGTTAAAGAATTTGGTCTTTGACACATATTTTCTGCTTATTACTTACCAGAACTAACCATTTTATATAATTTCTCATTTGGTAACATAGAGTCTGCTGAGCGCAGTTCAGTTTCTTTGATCTATGTTGTATATCATTTGCCTTAGAAATATTGTCACTATGTAACCTAGGCTAACCTTGAACTCACAAATCTCCTGCCTTAGTTTCCCCTGTTAAAATCAGGCATGTGACAGCATTCCTGGCCAAAATGGAATTTTCCTATCTTGCCTTTTAAGTTTCACACAGAAAATATTCACAACTAGGCAATGTGGCACACATATATAATTTCAGCATTCATGGTCTCAAGTTTGAGTTCAGCCTGAGTTACATAGTGTAACCATTTCTCAAAACAAAACAAAAATAGAAGTAAATAAATGAGAAGTTCACAACTAGGTGACCAGAATATTCTAATCCGCCAACAAATTTTTTTAGTTTGTTACAAATAGTTTTTATTGTGTGTTAGATGATTTTCCTGTCCCTTATCCTAATTATTACTCTTCTGATTTTCATATAATTATGTACTAGTTTTAGCTTTTATAAATTAATACATGTGTATGATTTTAAAAATGGTAGAGAGGTGTCTAATGAATAATTATCTATTGTCATTTTGTTTGCTAGTCTCTAGTGCTGATTATATCCTAGTATTGTTTCCATTGCTGTGCATTAATTATGGTAACTTGGATAAATCATTACTCTTCTGTTTACCATTTTACATGTCTTTTAGTCTGTGTGGAGTTTTCTGTCTGGCGAGTTAAAGGATTATTATTGTGTTATCTGTAGTGTAGCCAGCACTTCTCTCCCAAATTGTGACTCTGGTTCAGCTATGTATTTAATTTGTATTTTATACTCTTTTTAGATTAATAAAGACCCCCAACCTATAGAAATCACTTTTGGATAGTTTTTGGAAGAAAGTATAATTTCAAACAAGTTAACTGTCTGGAAACTACAGATGAGAGATTCTGAGATTTTTGTTGTTGTTGTGTTAGATTGTTTTAACTATGCTGAGGATTGAACCTAGGACTACAAGCATGCCAGGCAAGCACTCTGCCAGTGAGCTATATCCCCAGCCCAACCTGTCACGTGTTTTTATAAATTATGTTTGTATTCTTTCTCCCTCCCTCTCTTCTTCTGTCCTTCCAGCTCCTTTCCTTTCCTCCTTTGACCTCTCCAGAAGAAATCACTGATCATTTTTAATAATTTCTGTCTTAAGCTCTTGGGGTAATTATTTATATGTTACTTAATAACTTTTCTTTCTTTACCAACTTTAGACTCTGTATAGTAATTAAATTTTACCTTTTCCCTTCCTTTTGCTCAGTCTCTTTTTACTTCTGCTTTTTGTGTATTGTCAAGCTTGAAATCAGTTATTGTTCTCTTATTTGTTGTCTTCTTGATTCCTGAGTTTATAAGCTTGATATTGGGATGAGCTATATATATCCATATACTCACACACACCATCTAGTATGGCAAATCCCTTGGTTTTCATTATTGTTTTGGTATGTGACTTTTTATTTTATACCATAAATATATTAAAACTTTGTTATTTTAAATAAGAGAATTGATATGTTAATTTATAAAAAGAGCCTTGCAAGTTTTTTAAATCGTCTATGATTTTTCACTTTGCAGGTACGGAAAACGTTTTTCACCTTAGCATTTTGTGACTTTTGTCGAAAGCTGCTTTTCCAGGGTTTCCGCTGTCAAACATGTGGTTATAAGTTTCACCAACGTTGTAGTACAGAGGTTCCACTGATGTGTGTTAATTATGACCAGCTTGAGTAAGTAATCCAAAAAGAACCTCTCTGCTACCATTTTCATAGTGTGAAGCTAGTATACCTTGAAAGTTAATGAAGACTGTTCTGTCCAATGTAGTTGTTAGAAAATTTTTAAAAATATGATCAAAAGCAACAGTTTAGGCAGCACTTTTTTCCCAAATTCTTGCTCAACTACACATTTAATTTACATTTTATATTCTCTTTTAAATCACGGCCGCTAATCCTTAGAAATCACTTTTGTATAGTTTTGTGGAGGAGATAGAATATTTCAGTTAAGTTACTATTATATTTTTGAACCCCAGATGAAGGAATCTGATTCTGTTAGCCATTTTGTTAATGATTAGTTTATATTATATATTATTATTCCCTCACCCATGTCTCCCTCCACCCCCACCCCTTCACCTTTAGCCCTCCCCCTTCAGTTTATTTAAGAGTAAGATGTAGCTGGGCATGGTGGCACATGCCTTTAGTCCCAGCACTCAGGAGGCAGAGGCAGGAGGGTCTCTGTGAGTTCAAGGCCAGCTGGTTCTACAGGGAGACCCTGTCTCCAAACAAACAAACAAAGAATAAGATATAAAGCCGGAGATGGTAGTGCACACCTTTAATCCCACCACTTGGGAGGCAGAGGCAAGTCGCCAGCCTGGTCTACATAATGAGTTCCAGTACAGCTGGGACTACTAAGAGACCAGGTCTCAAAAAAATAAAAAAATAAATAAATAAATAAAAGAATAAGATATAAAGAACACAATTTATTCCTTTCTAAAATTTTTTTACTCTATTCCATAGTTTTTCTAATAAATCAGATCTTAATTTTTCTTATCACATGAGCAAATGGAATTTAACTCCTAAGTAAATTCTAATGATATAATCTAAGTGGCTGGGCATAATGGTGCACACCTTTAATCCCAGTACCCCAGAAGCAGAGGCAAGTAGATCTCTGAACTGGAGGCTAACCTGATCTAATCATGAAGCATGATTTTTTTTCCCCTTTTAATATATAGTGACTGAAAAGAACAATTTTATTAGATTCTGGGCTTGTCTTTAGAAGTACAGTGCAACTTTTTAAATAAGCCTTTAGACAAAAATGTACCTAATTGAATTTTAATGATTATTTCTGAAAATGGAGCTTGATTCTGTATTTTTCCATTAACTCTGTATTCTCATGTACTGAAGCTTCTGGGTTTTGCACAAGTTAGGTTTGTTTTGTCTTGTTTTGTTTTTGCCTCACAGTTTGCTGTTTGTCTCCAAGTTCTTTGAGCATCACCCAATACCACAGGAAGAGGCCTCCTTAGCAGAGACTGCCCTTACATCTGGATCATCCCCTTCTGCACCCCCCTCAGACTCTATTGGGTATGGCTTGACTCCTACTATTTAGTGGCATGCTATTTGAACTGCCTTCCTTTGGATCTTTTGATTAATTGCAAACCTTTCCCAACACTGAGACTGTTAAAGATGTTTTCAAATAATGTATTTTATCACATCATTCAGGCATTTATATACACTTGGTATAGAATGGGATTAAAGCTGGCTTAGACAAATTGAAGATCAGTCCTGAAAAAAAAAAATCAACATATAGTCAACTCCTGCCTTACAGTCATCATTTTATTAAGTAATATTACAGAAATATATGGCTTCCACTTATAAAAACAGCATTAACACATGATTTGATGACAGATGATTTATTTTAACTAATTAATTTGTTTTTGGTCTTTTTGAGACAGAGTCTCCCTGTAGTTCTAAATGGTCTGGAACTCTCTGTGTAGACCAGGCTAGCCTTGAACTCATAGAGATCCACCTGCCTCTGCCTCCAGAGTGCTGAGACTAAAGGCGTGAGCCACCATGCCCAGCAACAGATCATTTCTTTTTTTTTTTTTTTTTTTTTTTTTTTTTTTTTAAAGGGGGTTTTGGGTCCTCTAACACCCCCCCCCCCCCCCAGAGGTAACTCTAAGATCTTTTAAGGATTAAATA